GGTTCATAGGTTCGCACTCCCGCTGACTGAATGCGATTTAGATTACGGTACATCAATGAGCTATTTATTCGATTTTCTATGAGAAAAGTCTTACTTTAGCGGCTGCAAGTCGCGACCGTATAAGCGGCGCAAGAATTGGTCCTATGTTGTCGATGATCCCAGCAATTGGTGTAATAACATTGGCCAGCTTGGGATCAGCTTGAGCGTTGGCGGTGGCCTTGAATTTAATCAAGTAAGGAAGTTTGCATAACTGGTAAGACACGACAAAAATTGTTTTTTTCTCCAGTTATTCCGAGCACAGTTTCGACAAATTTATGGAGCACATTTTCGAAATAATCTTTTTGAATTTCCGAAAATTTTGTTCAAAATTCTTTAAGACTTCTTGTGAATTTCACTTACATGTAAATTGTAAACAGTTGTGCCACTTTTTGTAGAAGCTGACGTAGTTGTTGTGGAAGGTTCTGGTTCGTCGACTGCTGAAAATAACCATCTAATGGTTGTTCTCGTAAAGCTTGCTCTAATTGAAAACCTACACTCTTCTCACAGTTTATAGCTCCGGAAACAACAATGTGCATATGCTTCGCAAATTTAACGAACTGAAAAAAAGGAGCACGTACCGTTAGGATCCTCTTCCTCGGCTTCGGGGATTTGCTTGAACGCTACCATTGGAACTTCTTCAGATGATTGTTGGGTTGTACTTGATGGCTTCTCGGAAGAACTGGTGGCTTCCGATGTTGCTTTCTCCTTCTCCGCTTCTTCCGTGCTCGCCTCCGTTGTTTCTTCAGTCGTATGATCAGCACTAGTGGTCGAAGAAGTCGTGGTCTCCATGAGTTGAGTCGTCGCTACTGTTGTCGTAGAGGTTGTCTTTTCGCTGCTTGAGTTCTTTTCCGAACTATTTGCCGACTTTTCCAGTTCGGCGGTCAATTTTTCAACTGAACAATCTTCTTTTAGTTTCAGATGTCCAATCTATATCAAATTGTACATGTTTGCTATTTAGGGATCTACCAAGGTTTTTTTTTGAAATCCGCTAGG